CTCGTCTTGTCTCGCCGGAAAAAGAACAATTTTATCAGTGGATTCCTCCGATTGAACGATGAGATATACGGGTCTTCGAATCTATTCAAAATCGCATTATTCTTCGAATCTGAATCTTGAATAAAATTTACTCTAAATGAGGATTCGTATCCTTTCTATGCGCCATATCCCACGTATCGCAGCTCTTTTCCGGCCAGGCACGCCTTCAGTACTGCGTGATACTCTACGCGTTACCGCAACGTTAGTTTAGTTGCCCATCAGGTTGGAACCTAACTAGTGTCCTCGCATTGCGTGCACTATCTATTGAGGCACTGGCGAGGCGTGAATGATCGATTATCGATATTTTCCCATCTGAAGCTATGGTGAAGAGTCGATTATTAAGGTGTTCGATGAACACCTTGTTCATCAATCATTTTCTATAGGTGTAATGACAGATCAATCGATGCATCGCAAAGCACGGCACGTCACTGAATTCGAAAGTTTTTATTGGTGGAAAGCATGTTTTGAGTAATCTTGGAATTTGAAATGATATTGAATGTTATAGTTAANTTGAATTTCTTTGTTAAAATTGGTAAGTGAGTGCTTTAGACTCCTGACAACAGAAGTGCGATCTCAAAATAGGAGAAAAATGACGAGTATAGCTGAAAATATGGAAGAAATTGATGCGATATATCGCATGCCGTTCTGACACAAAATATGGCGTCCATCGAATCACCTTAATGTAATAATAACGGAGATTCTCGATAAATTTAAAACACAGAACCTAAGAATATTATCAGAGAATGAGTTGAATCGAAACACTTTTACGTAAAAAATTCTAATTAAAGTACATTGATGTGTCGTATTGATACTTGAATGTTTACTGATGTCATATTCTAGGTCAGGATTAAAACATTTCTTAAATTCAATCTCTGAAACATAGCTAAATTTCATTGATTCAACATCGAACTCCTTTTGCATTTTGCTCAAGTTAACGCAAAAAAACAACTCAAAATATACTTTTTAATCGATCGCAAACAATCAAAAGACCGAAAAACTGAGACTTTACCCCAATTCCTATCTTCGAATTGTTTTTCACAGAGAAATAGTTCGTGGCGAGGGCACTTTAATGGATCGTATTCGATACTTCAAACTGGTATCGATTGTATCGATATCGATTGGTTCAACATGTAAACATAGCCTCAAAAGTCAATTGAGTAATCTGAGGGATCGGGTTTCTTGTGATAGATTTTTGATGCTTATGAGTATGAAACGACAGTAACAAGTGAAATTGTTAGAAATTTGCTCATTTTCAGCTTTTCCGATCTAAATTTCAAAATTTTTGTTCGAAATCATGTTGTACTGATTTTAACCAAACTATACATCTAACCACTATTGAATACGATCTATTTCCTCCAACGACTCGATTCAAGCTTGCAACAACGAGAGAAACCACGAACGGTGCCGACGATTCGGATGGACGAATCGAAGAGCTGACGAAAGGGCGTAACTATACAACAACATGAGCCCGGAAAAGCATTTACTTGCATGGACAACAGGGTTCATCGCAGATTTTAGTTACGCCCTTGCTACGAAATGCTTGAGCGAAAGAGGAAGGGCGGGGGCCAAGGACTCGAACGATAACGACGCTAAGACAAAAGGAGGCCCACATTACGTCACCCGAAAAAATGACTGGCGCAATCACTCTCGTTTAATTCGTTTCGACGCCGATAAGGAGGCAGAAAAATGGCCAGTAAACCCATTAAACGAGAAAAAAAGCACCGGAAATTTCAACTGTAAGTGAGTGCCGTTTCCGCATCCAGCTATGCTACCGCACCAAGCAAGAACGGCGTATAACCCATCAGGTGTTGCCAAATTTCATTCGATAAAACACGAACTTCCTGGTTAAATTGTGAATTTTTTTCTTCCAATTTTTCAAATAGTTTTGTTTGCAATTTTACCCGAAGTTCCTAAAAATGTCAAGGAAAATTATTCATACTTTTCCTCAATAATTAACATTTTATCGAAGCAAATTTGGCAACTCTCGAATGCTCATACGGCGTTTTTCCTTAGCACGGCAGTATGGGCGCTGCGTGGGGGTGGAGGAGAGTTAATGCACGCAGAAGCTCACCTGGACGAAACTTTTACGAGAAGCTCGCTCTCTGAGTCGTAAAACTCTTGGACCTTTTTTGCTTCGGGCTAAGTAATGGAAAAAACTACGCAACGTGACAGTGGGTCCTTCTATCTAGAAATACGAACGCCAAGTGCAACTCTAATCGTTACACTAAAATGTCAGACTCCCAGAACTTTTAGTTTTCGTCATTTTTATACCTTGAGTCCCCCAGCGCTATTTCCGGCCATGGTTTCACCATTTGCGAATCCAGCAAATTGGCAACATGGTTTTCCCCCATTCATACCGATGGGAATGTATCGATTCTTGTAGGGATCAGGTGCTCCGACAAGTATCGATTATTTAAATTTTGTTCCATTTTAAATCCACCAATCACCAAGAGCTTTGATTTTCCTGAAAATTATAGCAGACGACCCAGCAATATTCTACACACTTTCTGTTGTACACTCAGGATGAGCTGCTCTGCATGTGCGAAAATTTAGGTAGTGATATATGATACCAGTCGCGGAATGCAACATTTTTTGTAAATTCCACAAGCCGTCACGGAGAAAAAAACCTCGTGCGTGGGACCCGAAGTTTAGGTCATATGGATCTCAGAAGTTTTTAGATTGAGCATCTGAACACTATAGGTCTAGCTGTCGAGGTTCGGATCATACATCTGAAACTTCAGTTCTTACATCTGAAGTACTTCAGATGTGAGAACCGAAGTGTTTCGGATGTGAAAACCGAATTACTTCAGATGTAAGAACTGAAGTTTCAGTTGTGTGATCCAAACCTCAGCAGCTGGACGTTAAGTGTTCGGATGCTCCATCCGAAAACTTCAAAGATCCATAAGACCTAAACTTTGGGTTCCACGCACGAGGTTTTTTTCTCTGTGTAATATCTTAAAACGGAAAAAACTTACTAAAAACAATTCTGCCCCAGGCTACGGAAATTACGGCTTCACTACTGCACGAATCTAACTGCAGTGGGGATCCAACGATAAATAGTGATATCATGATTCTGCTCACTCTATTTTGCGACGATAGAGTTTGAGATATGACAACGAAGGGTCGTTGGGGCCTGTGCCAAGGCAAGAATCGCATGTTCCGGACGGATCTGGTTCGATTCCCGGCGAAAAACCACGGCGGGCGTTATTAAAAAATCACGCGACCCCAGCGCAACATCCGACAGACGTTAAGTACGGACCGCAGGCCGGAGCTGCGGCCGTGGCGGTTGGGCGTTTCGCAGTGCTAAGGAAAAATTCCGTATGAGCCTTTAGGCGTTGCCATATTTCCCTCAATAAAAACTTAATTTACTAGGAAAATTTTTAATATTTTTCTTTACATTTGTCGGAAATTTTTTTTCTCGATCTAATCTAAAATGTGAAAATTTCAAGGAAAAATATGCAAAATTTGTATTGAAAACGCATGTTTTATCCGGAGAAATTTGGCAACTCTCTTACGTTCTTACGGCGTTTCTTCTTAGCACACAGCGCGCGCTGGCCCGTCGTGTAAACCGATGATGCCGTTCCACTTCCGGACAGTCGCATTGAAAAAGCGAACTCTCAGAAAGGCTGCTTCGTCTTAAAAGGATTAATGCAAACTATTATTACTGCAAAAAGGAGAGTTGTGTGGAACAGGGCCGGATTTAGGGAATGGCCACATGGGCCGCGGCCCATGGCGGCAAATTTTGCAATATTTTAATGTAGGTATCAAAAAAAGAGATAAAAAAATCGGATTCAGAAAATAAATTACTAACAAGAAAAGGCGACAAAATTTATCATTTCCTGAGAGTAAAAGTATAGTAATTTCTAACTTTGTTGCCTTTCGGTGACACAAGAGACAACACCTTTAAATTAGTCGAGTTAAGAGAGAAACCCAACACGCAATTTGACCTGGAACGGAGCGGCGCGGCGGCGGCGGTCGGCATGAAACGCATGGCGCCTACAAGACTCCATGAATACTTCACGCATTGCGTTAAACACAGTGCGGTCAGCAGCGGTCGGCGTGAAGCGCATAGCGCCTACAAGACTGCATGAATACTTCACGTATTGCGTCAAACACAGTGCGGTCAGTTTGTTTTTTCATAATTTTTTCGTTCATTTCTTATAAATGGAAGGCCTTGTTCACACAGAGTTAGGCTTACGGAACTTAACTTTCGCGCGAAGTTCCGTGAACTTTTGCTGGTAATGTTGACAGGGCTTCGCAAAAAATGTGTCCAACTCGAATAAACGCGTCTTATGCACCCCTCCCCGCTGCACGTTCACTTGATGGTTTTTAATGATGTTTCAAAACGAATGAGAAGGGGCGGCAAAATACAGGCGGCCCATGGGCGGCAAGTAGGTGAATCCGGCCATGGTGTGAAATAGTTTTTTTTTCGTCCGTGTTAACCCCAAACACTGCCTTTTTCGAGATATCACGGCTTGTGGAATCCACAAAAAATGTTGCATCCCGCAACCGGTATCATATATCACTACCAAATTTTTTCGCACACGCAGAGCAGCTCATCCTGAGTGTACAACAGAATGTGTGTAGAATATTGCTGGGGTTTCCACACTATCCTTCAGGAAAATCAAAGCTTTTGGTGATTGGTGGATTTATAATGGAACAAAATTTTACCGTGAAAATCTGGATATAAACTAAAGCATTAAATGTAATATTTCAAACTTAAAATCCGTTCTTTTTGTTCAGAGTAATTTTATCCCCTTAGTTTGTGTAGTCTTCGATTACTCTGAGTTTCAGAATTACCTCAAAGATGAAACCATTCTATAAATTTTCTTTGTCCTCCAGAGAAGCACTTAGTTTTTCCTCAGAAAATTTGATTTAAAAAAAACGAAACAAAAAAACATGCTTACCCGGGGGATTGGGGATTCCAAAAATTTGGGAAACAATATGGAATGAGACAATTAAAGAATTTGGGACGGTTTATTTCACGTTGACAGGATCCAAGAGTCAAGTCTTCATTATCAAGTTCAATACCAAGGGAGTCAATTCCTTGTGCAAATGGATGTCACTATCGTGGCAATCCACTTATTATAGTTTCTTTCCGAACTTGGACGATGCAAATGTGTGCATTATTGATCGGTTCAAGTAGAAGTAAAGTCACGTTAAGTTTAATGGCTGGGGGTTTTATCATCGCTCAAGATTGTCGAGAAACGAGTTCATATCGTAATAGAAAGTTGGAAGGAAGGCTTTGTCGCGTCGTTGTGTCGAAACCAGAATCCTTAAATCACGATTAATGCAAATGCGTCATCCAAACTCCCAGCAATTTGCAGTATTTAAAAAATTTCGTATTTGTGCGTCAATCTAAAACTCGCAAATTAAGATCAGCTTGTCAGACAAGCTGTCTGACTGTGGCTGCTACGAAATATACGGAAACCGGTCGTGAATTACATCTTAAACATAAAAAGTTCGACACGACGGGTTATATTCTCTACACAGTAACAGCATTTTTTGAGTGGTTTCGTATCTATTTCAAGTGTTCAGTGACATAAATTGTATCAATAACTTCTGGGTTGTGTTTTGCCGTCTTTTTTGCCCCCTTTAAACAAAATCCTGGTGGTTTTCGGATTTACTGTTGCTTCATTAGCAGCGTATTTATAATCATTCGGTGAGAAAATATTTGAACAGTCAAAATTTTATCGATACTTCTAACAACTTGAACACCATGCCTTAAGGAAACTTGATTATGCCCCCAAAGGAAAATCCGCTGCTTACGAATCAGCTTCGAGGAATATAGACCAACACTCTAATACTAGTAGAGGTTAGGGTCGTATTTAGAGTCGTTCCATTAAAACTCCTCTCCATAGGAGGCACCGTAGCGTTTACATTCTGATTAAGGCCTAAGGTTTAAAGGATATTCTTAACATCATCAAGGGAACAATTTTTGGCAACATTGAGTAAAATTCAGCAGTATATTACTTTGGATCTTTGCAAGGGATTACAGTGACTCATCATTACAAAAATTGCAAAATACCCCGGAAGGAAATATTATGTGAGTCAAGTAAATTTTAAGGTAAGGTTCGCACCTACCTTAACGTTTGTCAAAATTCAAAAAAATTGTCTTCTTTATTTTGTACTTTTTGTAGTGTCAAACCATTGTAATCCCTTGCAAGGATCCATTCTCAAAGTAGCACTGCTGAATTTCACTCGTTGTTGGCAAAAATTGTCTTTTTTACATATGATGCTATTTGAGGGCTTTCTTAAACCTTCCTTAATGACAGTACAAGCCACATGGAGCCTCCTAAGGAAAAAAGCTGTTAATGGAAAACCTGCGATTACGACCCTTAGCCTATGCATTTTCATCAATAATGTATAATGTTTGAATTACATAAAACCGAATATAAATTTTGCACCAAAGAGTCGTGACAGTCTGGTTTAAGAAAGAGAAGAAAAAGAAGAAGAAGAAAAAGAAGGGAAGAAACCTCTGCAAAATTTTCTTAATTATCATCTTTATCACAGTCTTCAAATTTAATGATACTTAAGGATACGACCCTTTTAGACTGTGCATTTTCATCAATGATGTACGATGTTTAAATTACATAAAACCGACCTTAAATTCTGAGACTGTCGTCTAGTTTCAGAAGGAGAAGGAAAAAAAGACAAAGAAAAAGAAGAATAACAATCATACCTCTGCAAATTTTTCCTTAAATCTCATCTCCATCACAGTCTTCAAATCACACTTAGGGATACAACCCTTAGACTGTGCTTTTTCATCTATGATATATGATGTTTGAAATGTATAAAACCGAACATAAATTTCAGACCAAAGAGTCGTGACTGTCAGGTTTCAGGGGAGGAAGAAGAATAGGAAGAAAAGGAGGAAGAAGAAGGAAAAGAATCGTACCTCTGCACATTTTTTCTCAAATCTCATCTCCATCTCAGTCTTCAAATCATACTCAAGGGCCTCGTGGCTCCCCGTCAACGGCTTAAAACCGGGGGTGGGGAGGGGAGGTGAGGGGGGAGGAAGTGGAGCAAGGGCGAAGAATAAACAAATCCGCGAAGAATCTCTCGAATATCCTCGCAATTCGCACCACGCGATGACACTTTTCCCCGTTTAAAGCGCGACTATGAATAGCAATGCACTTTCTTCCAGGAGCGCGGTCTGTGTGATGTTCCCTCTGTCTGGGAATTCAACTTTTTAATAGGGCCACCGTTTACCAACTTTTATTTACGTCCGGATAAGAAATGATGGGGGGAAAGAGGAGACCCATACCCCTCATCTCAAATTTTATTATCTCCAGCGACCATTCGTTAACTCAGCAATTAGGGCACTATCATCCGCATCTGTAGTGTTTTTTAAAACGGAGAGCAAGCTCCGTGCTGTTGGTTTTCCTTTTTAATTTATCACGGCCGGTAGCAGCTGATGCCGTCCTACATTACTGCCGTGATAAGGTAAAACACCGTATGAACCTTCAGTCGTTGTCAAATTTCCTTGCATAAAACACGAATTTTCTAGTTAACTTATGAATATTTTTCTTCCAAATTTTAGAATAATTTTGTTCGCAATTGAACCGAAAGTTCCTGAAAATTTCAAGGGAAAGTATTCATAACTTGCCTCGAAAATAAACATTTTATCGGAGGAAATTTGGCAACTCTCGAATGTTCATACGGCGTTCTTTCTTAGCACGGTAGATTACCTCTAGCTCGTAGCGCTCTTTTGTCTGTCCTGCAATCAATTCTAAATAGCTTGAATAGCAGTGGAAGTTCAAGTGCACAGTTAAGAACGTTCTATTTTTTTCTGAGTCAAAACTCTTCGAGTAAATCATTTGCAGTCTCCTTGGCTGAAGGAATTTTATTACTTGTCATTTTCATTTCCTCCGAGATTGACGGACTGTGCTGCCGGACTAAGGAAGAACGCCAAGATGTTGAAAAAATTTATTCGGTAAAAAACAAATTATCAGGAAAATTTTTAAATATTTTTCTTTCAATTTTTCTGAGAATTTCATTTATAATTTAATCTGAAGTACCTGAACATTTTAATGAAAAATATTTATAACTGCCATTGAAAATGTATATTTTATCGGATCAAATTTGGCAACGTCCAATAATGTTGATACGGTGTTTTATCTTATGGCACGGCAATTTGGACCCTTGTGCCAGAATGACATTGGCGTAATGTAATCATTTCGAATATTTGGATGAAATAATATTTTTCATCTCCCAATTCAGAAGATATGAAGTGCATCTCACAAAGGAGTTCCTTAAGGTTTTGAAAAAGTGGGGAAACAAAAATGTATTTTATGTTAAACCCGCCTTAGAGTATACTTCGTGAGGAGTTGAATGTAACAGCCCTTATTTCCGTCTCATTTTTCGAGTTGAAGGTTCTGTAGTGCACTGGAAAAAAAACACATTGGATCCAGAATCCAGACTCTTGAAAACATTGACAAGAAAAAGGACTCTTGATTTAAGCATTTCAGCTTAAATCAAAAGGAAATCTGCTCAAATTAGGAGGCTTGGTTCTTGATTCAAGCTTAAATCTGAGTGAATCAAGAGTATTTTTTCTTGTCGATGTTTTTAAGAGTATCGACTCTAGATCTAATGTGGTTTTTTTTCCAGTGTGGTAAAAGCTTCCATGCAATTGCTAAAATTTTAATGCGTTTTAGTCATTATTGCAAAAACACGGACTAACCTTCTTGAGGCACAAAGCGTGGATCAGTGCAGTTTACTGAGCGTGGGTAATATTTGTATTTTTTTATATTTTATGCCTATGAACGTAATACATCGAGAAGTCAAAAACTTGTCAGGAAACACTTATTGAATTAGTCAGCAACCATTTAATAAATAATCACCCTCAACAGCTCAAAAGTAAACTAAAGAGGTTTCTTTTGCTTTTTCCCGGTTGTATGCTTTTGCAGTGTCGCGAATATATCATCCACGCCAAATATTCGCCTGTCCCGCTGTTCAGCACACTGTCGTGTTAAGAAAGAACGGTGTATGAACATTCGAGGGTTGCTAGATTTCCTTCGATAAAATGTTTAATTTTTAAGAAAGTTATCAATATTCCTTGAAATTTTCAGGAATTTTAGGTGAAATCGTTAACAAAATGATCTGAGAAATTGGAAGGAAATCATTCATAGTTTTACTAGGAAATTCAAACTTTATCAATGGAAATGTGGCAACGCCTGAAGGTTCATATGGCGTTTTTCCTTGCCGCAGCAGTACTGGATTCCGCATTTTTCGCCGTGGTCGGTCTCTAATGAGAAATGGGACGTCTTTTGAACACGCCACGGACTTCGGGATGGGACCGGACTTAATTGAAAAAAAATAAGAAAAAAGAAAAAAAAATCCAGAATTTGGAGGAAGTCGTTTAACATGTTTTTGGATTTGACATCTGCGTCAGTCCGTAATAAATGAAACTTCCAAAATAGACACGCGAAAAGGAAAAGAAAAGAGATTGAAGGAGGGGAGAGGGACAAATTATAACGCGGTTTCCGTTGTTGCTGTAAATTAAAATCGTTCACAATTCTTTCTACTTATTTCAACCACTGTATTCTTTAAACAATAGTGCCAATAGAAGAGAAATTACGGCAAACAAGTGTATTACTGGATATGTCCCCCAGAGACTGCTCAACTATACTAGAATTTTACCCTCTTGGTCAAAATTTCTAAGATTCTGAGCGTCCTATCAGGTTGTGAAAATATGTTCAAAGATTCATGTATTCTTTATGAAATTTGAAGAGTATAAGCGGATTGAAAAAGTCTAATAACGAAAATATTCATGGTAGAGAATGAAGACGGGGAATATTGAAGGTAATTGAAAAATTGAAAAGGTTATTGAAGAATCCGAGAATTTCTCATAATATTTGAATTCCTCGACGACTTGAAAATTTCGCTAAATTTTTCCTTAAACTCAATAAATTTTCAAGTTTAAATTTTAATTCCAGCTTTTTTTTCCTGTAATTTGTCGCAACAGTCAGAAAGAAGGCTGAAATCTTCGGTATTTCGGAATTATATCTTGCCAACGACCTTGCACACAATGATCGTTATTTTATCGTGTGTTCCTGAAGATATTTGCTGTAGAATGTTTTCACGTGTACTACTGAACGTAGCTTAATTTTTTCTTCCCAATCCACATCTGCACAGGTGTTAAGCACCGAAAATTCATCGTAAGTAGTTCACGCATTCTTTTGTCTTTTATTCAGGCAGTGTTTATCGCCATGTCGATTGTACTCGTAGGAGGAAAACGTTCGATAGGAGACAATCATTTTTGCAAGCTGCTCCATTGTGCGACAAACATGGAGATAACAGCGGCAACACTGTGTAGCGGGTTGATTTGAATATTTCGGGAGCCTCCTGTCTCATATGCCACCGTGTCTCTAAATTTCGACCACGACCTTCCATCAGGATCTCAGTGGCTCCGATCTCGGCCAAATTAAATAGCTTGTTCCTCGAGATTGTATAACTGCAGCAAAATTTTCGGAATTTATAATGAGGCTTGAGGGTGCTGAAATTTATGGCTGAACTAGCGATATCGGACGACCATCGCACAGTGATGCGAGTCAGTCGGAAGGCTCGGACATGAGGAAGAATCTTCAAAAGTTTGAATCTTCGTTAATACGCAACCCAAAAGTTTAAAAGTGGGCTCAATAGGTCTCGCAAGATTTCCTTCAAGAGGCATCCCTGAAAATTTCAAAAGTAACGAGACGGAATAAACATCAAAAATCGCAATTTTAGGGATAAATATTCATATCCGACCCTCTCAATGGCTCGATTCACTGTGCGTCGCCTTGTGGCACGATTTTTCCACTGATAATGCTTAAAGATACAGCTTGTCAACCAGTGTAAAAAAAGGACAAAAAAACGGGGGAAAAGGGAGGAAACAGAAAGGATGAATGAGCAACACGCTCTTTGACTCATAAATTTGCTCTTTATATTGGAACGGTGCTGTGTTGTCGCTTGTCGCCCGCCTCTCTCCTGGAACTCACAAGATTATTTGGACGTATTTCTGCCAAACGCAACTACGTGCATTAAGACATGAGCCCTGAGACCCATAAGAATATATGCGTAACAGGGCTCACGTCATAATGCACATAGTTCCGTTTGATAGAAATACGTCCATTTGACATGACAATAACTGAACCAGTTTGTCTCGAAAGACCCCAGAAAATATAATCAATTTTTTTCGAATTGGTCCTCTGACAGAGGGATATAATAACCTACTGATCGAATTTCTTGTTTTCTGTTTATTCAAAGTTTCAAAAACTAATTCGTTGTCATTTCCTGCGAAATTCTATAATATTAACTAGTTTTTTCAATATTTTAAAGTGTTGAGTATTGATTTTCTTGAATTTTTTTACTCGTTAAAATTTAATTGGAAGTTGAAGTTTAGGATATCGGAATGAAAATCGCGAATAAAATTATGTTCTTTCCTGATAATTTACTGCGGATAAAGCTTTTGTATAAACCTGCGAATAGGAATAACGAACCGTTTCTATAAATTTTAATTAAGTTGCTCTGATTGTCATAGATCCTTATTGAATATTCAAGTCTTTCCATCACTAGAAATACATTAAATAATACATGTCTTTAAATCTTTTAATACATTAAAAAAAGACATTATGATGCGTGTGTAAAGCGGTTCAAGCTCACTGGACGGTCGTGTTAAGGTCTGTTCGTATAATCGTGTATTTACATAAATCTTTTTTGAAAATTGGATGGTTTACGCGGGAAATCCTGAGAAAGGTCAGGAAGTGCTGAAATGTCAGAGAATCACGTCAGCTATGCAAATATATGTCAAGGACACCGGAGAAAGGGGGAAATTAGTCCTCATACGCAATAGCTTGTCTTGGTGGTTCTCAAGCCTTCACCTTTATGATTCATTGCCACAAACAATCGACTTCTGCCGAACTCGCTGGTATTTAAATTGGGGAACCTCTCACCTCTTATTTCATGATCATTTGTGATTCATCGAGTATTAAAATTTTTCGACGGATTACATGTGCAGTGTCACATGGAATCTAACATACACACAAGAAAGTTTAACCTCTAAATAGCTAATTTCATTTGTTTTCCCTTATTTTGTTACAGGGCGTCCAGCAATAATAATTACAAAGGGGATACTATTTGCAACAAAAACATATCAGATCCGGTGAACGATGTCACGATTGAAAAACTCCTCTCAGCACCAACCTCCATCAGGTTTGTTGGTTTTTTTGACTAAACGTAATATTCATGATCGAAGAACTCGAGCATTTTCTTAAAAACAAAGAAAATAGAATAATTGTCTTTTTCAGTCATTCCCTTTTTAAAAAAAAGTTGTTTCCCCATCAATGATTCAACGAAGAATACATAACACGAACATGGTTGACGTCGTCTACGTACAACTCCCGAGAGATTAAACATGAATCACGCATTAATAAATAGAGTATTGTCAGTTTCATCAAGGAAGTTTTCTCCCCAAAAATAGCACAAATGTCGTAGATCATAAAAAGATCAGGTTGGAAAATTCTCTGAAGTATTTTGTTCATTGCTCTTTCCACCTGTCTAGAGCTTAAGGGGTTGAAGGTCTGTCTGAAGGGTGCGGCTGCAAATACATCTAATTATTTTCTGCTCTCATATTTTCTCAGTCAAGGCATGTGTGCAGCCAATCAACTCCTCAATAACTTGTTTCTTTGTCTACTATGAACTTCCACTTATAAATGCGGAAATCGTCGAATATCTTGGGAGTCCGTATTTGTACTTCCGAAAATCGGAGCTCCTTTTGAAGTTAACGTCATGACCAAAGATTTTACCGATTTGCCCTCTCTGCATTATTTTTTGAGAAAAAAGGAAACTATTCATTCGGAGACTCTCGTGCATTTTTAAGTTGCGCTGAAATCCAGCTTGTTGTGTGGAAAAATGGGGACGTAATGCGCTCTAGAAAAAATTAGTTTTTTTTTTCTTTTTTTCGCAAAATCGCGGAAAAAATCAAATGTTTTTGGTGCATGAATTTATGGAAATTCTTACCAGAGAACAGAAGGAAACGAAGACAGGTAATTTCTTGAAAAATTTGGGGATGAAGGTTTTTCAAACGGAAAACCCAATTTTAAAATTGGAAGGGCCGAGAACTCAGAGAACCGTCCGTAAAGGGTTGCCACAGTCAGGGAAAACCAGGAAATGTCATAAAATTTTAAGAAGTCAGGGAAACCTGGAAATGTCAGGGGAAACGACGAAGATGGCAGGGAAAACTGTTGGGTCATATTTATTTGCTGTCTGGAATGGGTTTGACGTTTCGAACAACACATTTTGTCTGAAAACCATTCTTTATAAAGTCGTACTAACCAACTGACATATCTTCGATCTTCAGAGAATTTTACCAAAATTTGTAAGGAAAACCAGGTTAATGTCAGGGAATTTAATTTTTTAAATTTCGTGACAGCCGTGTCTGTATCTGTGCATTGTTTTACCTCGATCACTCACTGATATTTTTAGTTCTCTCATCCAATATTCATTCGAAGTGATACGAGTGGTCAAGTCAATACATAAAATTTCCCTAAGGAGACCCTTCATTCGTGTTTCAGAGTCTTCCCTTTTTAGAAGATTGGTAAAACGCTTGCATGCGAGTCTCTTCCCGAGGTCAAGTAATCTTGGTCGATGAACTAACATCAATCCGAAAACATCCACAAAACAATGTCAACAGCGCCGTGGCTCCGTACACCCAGCTTTTTGAAACCGTACCCGTCGTTTCGAAGATTCGTCGCACGGTGGATTGAGTCAATCAAAGAAGTCGGGCATGAAATGTTTAATTAAAACTGCAAAGTTTGATGTTTAATTCGTCACATTTAAAAATTTTAAGGGGTGCATCTAGAAGAAAATTTTACGAGAAAACCAGTGGAACATCACTTTTAGAGCCTCAAAGTTTCGTGTGAACGGAGTTATGAGCTTTTAAAGTTTCCAAATTTTGTCCGACCTCCCCCATTGACTTAATCCACTGTGCGTCGTTGAAGTCGCTTAAAAGCATGTTTCATTCTCAGACTTAGAGCAAACAAAACGTGTGGTCATCTCCGTTCCGTCTAAAAAGGTTCCAATGTCTAACGCTCGGAGCGTGTCTGCAATAGACTGTTATCCAGGGATGGAGTAAACAGTTGGACCGTTGTTATGACGGAGCGAGGTTGCCTGTTTGAACTGAAAAATGAAGAAGGGATAGCGATAGCTTGAATGGGTTAAAATTTATGGTGGATTTAAATCACTCAAGTTTCTCAGGGTTGCCACCACCAACTACATGGCATGTTGATATTTAATGAATCACTGGAAAAAAAACACATTGGATCTAGAGTCCAGACTTTTGAAAACATTGACAAGAAAAAGGACTCTTGATCTAATCAGATTTAAGCTTAAATCAAAAGGAAATTTGCTTAAATTAAGAGGCTTGGTTCTTGATTTAAGCTTAAATCTGATTGAATCAAGAGTATTTTTTCTGTCGATGTTTTTAAGAGTCTGGACTCTAGATCCAATGTGTTTTTTTTCCAGTGACATTCGGCCTCCCATGGAAAGAGAATTCCTAGTGCCGAAAAACTGGAATTATGATGTTTAGCTTTATTTTCAGAGGAGTTTTTATGAACATTCTGTCATATAAAACGCCCAAAAATGTTAAACGAAATTGAAAAAAAATATATAGGTATATAGTTTATAGTTTAAAGAACGTAATTTCGAGGAAAATGTGATTGGAAATTGCATCTGCTTCCGCGTCAACTTAGGGTACAGCCTGGGAAAACTCCTTTTGATAAGTCCTTGAAAATCCATGAAAAAAACTCTGGATCTCCAAAAAATGTTCATCAACCGTGCAAAACGAGGAAATTTTGCTTCGCAAAAAAAACCTATTTTCGTGTGATGAAACTTTTCACAATTTTTGACCTCGTGCATCATGTCAACAGAGGTACGGACGTCGAAATTCGCACCAAATATATTACCTGAAAAGCAGTTTCATTCTCAGAATTGTCACCAAGTCACAAAACTTTTTGTTCAAAAAATTTGATAAGTCAAGAGAAAGTCAAAAACTTTTACAATTAAAAGAAGCTAAATGACCTTTCAAACCAAACAGCATATACAACATACAACGTCATGACAACGTCGCTAAAATTTGTGTAAATTTTCCTTTATTCAGAATTATCCAAAACCACTTTAACCGTACATTTCTCCTGAAAAACATTTAGAATAATACGGAGAAAATGAAAAGCATGGAGAACAGAAAAGAATTTGGGGAAAAAAATTGTTAGTATTATAGTTTCGAATTCAACAGGTTATACATTTTTTCATCTCTATAATTCAAAGTCGAGAACAAAATATTTTGAAGGTGATAACAGTCGTTAAACTTAACATTTAACAAACATTATTAAACCCTCAAACTTAATGCATTCCGTTAAGCTCGGTCCAAATAAGAAATGATCGCATTCCAAAAGGTGATAATGGCGTGTTAATGTTCTCTCAAAGTGCTAGTTTTTTGCCACCCATCTGGTAACGGTGCTCGGCGGCGTCTTTGAAGTGTTTGACGGGTTGCGGGCCAACGAGCTTAAGGCCACTAATCTAGTTGATGAACTACTAGTAAATAAACAACTTGATTAAACACTTGGTTGCCGGCAAGATTTATACCTGCGACGAAAAGACGAGAGCGGGAGGGAAGACTTGACTTGACTCCCATGAAATTGACGTTTATGCCACTCGCAGCCCACGAACGAAAGCTCCACAATGGAGTTGTTTACATAATAGGCCGAGGTATTTGCGAGCTTTGACCGCTCGTTTGGGTTCGGGGCTAGTAGCCAATAACCGCACTGGAAAAAAAACACATTGGATCTATAGTCCAGACTTTTGAAAACATTGACAAGAAAAAGGACTCTTGATTCAATCAGATTTAAGCTCACATCAAAAGGAAATCCGCTCAAATTAAGAGGCTTGGTTCTTGATTTAAGCGTAAATCTGATTGGATCAAGAGTATTTTTTCGTGTCGATGTTTTCAAGAGCCTGGACTCTAGATCCAATGTGTTTTTTTTCCAGTGCGCGTCAAAGCAGCAAACTGGCAGTTGCAAAAAAAGAAAAATAAGAAAAGAAAAAAAGACGGTACATTGGAATTTTTAGCCAACGTGCGTTGAAATCTAGAAAACTGGAAATCTTAATTCAGTGGGAAAAAGCTCACTGGGACCCAAATTTTCCGTTAAAGAGATACGCTGTTTGGTGCAACCTTAGTTACGAAAAAACTAGTTCGTGAAGAAAAGAAGTTTTAAACAGGGTGACAAATTTTTGAAAAGTCATTGTTAACTTAGAAAAGTTAGGTTTTGCCCAATCCTGAAACGTCAGGAAATTGTATTGTAGACCCTTGAAGGTTTTTTTTCTTTTTCTTTTCGGCCGAAATATTTCAATATTTCTCATCGCTTTTGCATGCCCAGTCGGCGAATTTTACATATACAGCAAGTAAATACTTACATTTTTAGATTGGTTGAATACCCAGGGATATCTCCTTAAATCCTCTTTTCCTAAAACCCCAGAAAAGGCGAGGAATTTTCCATTAGAAGCTCTTCATAAGTCAAAGAAAACTTAGGGAATTTTGAAATTAGAGAAAACCTGTCACCCTGTTTTTGGCAAAAGGGGAGATCAATAAATCCACAGGGACCGTACTATTTTACAACTCTTTCATCCAGGAATTGTTTACATAAGGAAAACTTTAACTTTGCCGCAGAATTATAGAAAACTAAAATTTTAAAACCACCTCGTACGACACACACAAAAAGAAAAAGGTACAAAATTACATCCCGTTGTATTCAGCTTTCAATGTTCCCACCTGTTTTCATGAACTAAAAATCTATCAAGCTTGTGGCATAACGTTTCGATTTTTTTAAAACCTGAACACGTTTAGCTATCTCTACATGGCGTCATTAAATTTGTGCATAGTTGGAATTAGAGTCACGCGGGGAAGTTTTGTATAAAATTAAATGCCGGAGTGCAGTTTGGTGTAAGCGTCGAAGATCCTCGGATTTTACCGGCTCAGGAACTTAAAAGCTTAAAGACTCCAGCGCTTTCCACGATAAGTGTAGGTGAGGGCGAATACTTGCAACCCAATCAACTATGCCTAGAAAGTGTTTGCATTATTCATTAGTGCAACGAAGGTAAGACGTTTTCAATTAAAAACCGGCCTCGCCCCTCGGAACGCCCGGAGCAGTGCTTTGCGA